AAACATTTTTTTTTTTTTTTTTTTTTTTTTTTTTTTTTTAAAAAAATTCAAAAAAAAATTCGAAAAAATTCTGATTTTTTTTTTTAAATACCAAAAAATTATGTATTTTTTCCCTATAAATACCTAACCATTTTATTCACTTTCTACACCAAATCTTCATAAAAACTTCATCTCCTTCCAATTATTTTTCACTTTCACAACATCTTAAAATTGGCATGGCAAAAAAAAAAAAAAAAAAAAAAAAAAAAAAAAAAAAAAAAATTTTATTCAATTTAATGTCTTTTTTTATATATATATTTCTTGCATTTCCAATTTCTTTTTTTTTAATAGATTAGTCAAGGCAAAACCAAAAATGTTATTCGAAAAATTTTATCCAAAAATTTTATTTGAAAATTTTATTCGAAAAATGTTATCTTAAATTTTAAATGAAAATTTTATAATAAATAGTGACACGTGACAACCGAAAATATAATCTAAAAAGCTTATCAAAATTAATAGTTTAAAGTATAAACAAATAGGAAATAAAGTACAATGAATAGTAATTGCCTTAGACTTGCCCTAGACTTTGCCTTCATTGGTGGAACCACAAATGCAAAGGCTGACACTATTCACATAAATAGTGGCAGTCCTTGCTTGTCCTTGCCTTAGACTTAGCCCTTATGGGTGGAGATGCTCTTAGCTTCCTTTGTCCTTTCACTTTTTCTCAAGGTGGGGGTGATAATTCCAATACTGACACTACACCCTCAACCCCCTCCCTCTCTGGTCGGAATCCTTACGATGGATGGCCTCCCTGGACCCCCGTAAGTTTCGGTGTCCTTTTGCTCCTCATTTGTCTTTTTGTCTGGGGCCTTGCTGTCACCCCTGCTTGTTTGTTTCCTTATGCTGCCCTGGTGGATGTCCATCCCCATGTGTATGTGGTTCTGGCCTCTCTAGTCTGTTATTGAAAGTATTTTCCTAAAAAAAAAAAAAAAAAAAAAAAAAAAAAAAAAACACTACCCTTAGTCATTAGGGGGTCTTTCATTAACTAGTTATTCATGTATCGGTATTTTTTTTTAAAATAAAAATTACGTTGAAAGAGGTTTGTTTTACATCCGAATTTTTGTGTTAATTAAAATTTTCTTTTGACGTCATGACGTATGTTGTGTTGATTATTTTGCTTGTACGTGTTGGGATGGTTGTTTGATAATTTGAGACTGATTGATTGGACTTGATGTTACCTTTACCGCTCGCTGATTTGGCTTTTATATTGTGCCTTTATTCATTGTACGCGAATCCAATCGATGCAAATTATCCATGGTCACAATTCGACACGAAAAGAAGCTTCATATTTTTCAACCATGAGTCTTTGAGAGCAGAAAACCTTGTGCAAATAGAGAAATTATAATTCGTGTCATATCGTGATTGACTCAGGATAGTAGAGGTTTGATTTTGCTCTCTTTATTTATATCTTTTTTTGTTGTTGGGGTGATTGAACTCAATAGTTAGTCATATTCTATAAAGGACTTGTAGCTTAGTGATTAAGAACATTTATTTATACATTCTAGATCTTATGTTTGATTTCCCTTTCTCCAATCGCTCTTCTAAAAAAGGAAAAATAAAATAAAATCATATCCTCTTTCTTTCTGTCTGTCATCTTTTGCAAAGTACGTAGGTGACTGATTCAATCAAAGAAAATTGGGGGAAATTGTTGTGTGGTAGAGTCGTAGATAGTTGATATATGGTTATAAATGAATTGAATTGCGGCCTTCTAGTAGTGCTGATTGATATGGCAATAGGCATGCGGAAGACGCAAATCTCAACAACGACACAAGTTGCTTAAAACATATAGAGCGTCCGGAAAGAAAACAGCAACGTTTGCTCAGATAAAGTGAGAGCATAAACAAAGGTGCCCCATATAACAGTGACAGATTGAGATTATACCCAAATAGTGAAAGAAAGAGTAGGTTGATACATACTAACGATATTATTGCAATAAAAGGATCAAAATGCAAGTGGCCCTCAAAATTGAATGCACTATATCTTCTTCATATATATTTTGAGTGGCTTTGAATGACAGAAGATGATAGTTTTAAAAAGTTAAAAGAGAAAGCACTTGCCGATAGCTTGATACTAAAGATATTAACCCAAATACCAAACAAACTGAGGTTAGAAAAGGAGCAAGATGAAGGTGACAAGGGTGCCCCTCTGCAATAAATGCATTCTGGTGAAACATCAACCTAGCGAGTATTACCAGATATAGTTTTTGAATTGAAAATTCTGAACCAGCCATTTGGAGAAGCGGAAGATATTGCAGAATGTGGTCCCCTCCTCTGTTGTGATTGTAACCAGAATTATTTGAGACAAGAGTGTCCTCACACAGCAAGTAAATATCCCAACACCAACATGAAACCTTTATTTATTCCAATTTCCAGCCAACTGATCCCATACATCACTACTTTTTTTCTCTCTTTTGTTAATTACTTTCCCATTTTGCAGTGAAGGGCGATACCAGAATTATGGATGCCTTCTCTTCCTCTTTCCTATCCACATTTCCCACTCAAAATCTCTCTCTCTCTCCTGCCATAGCAACCCCCAAGCTCAGCATTTCCTCTGTTAGAATTGAAGAAAGACCATCAAGCCCACCACCAGCTTCAAAACCCACCTCCACAAAAGCACCACAGCCTCCAAAAACTCCATCCCCGCCACTAACAACAAAAGCTCGCGATTACAACAATGCTTCAACATTCTCTGCAGCAAAAAAACAAACAGATCCTACGCTACCTGCAGTGATCTTCAACGCTTTGGATGACTTCATAAACAACTTCATAGACCCTCCACTGCGCCCTTCTGTGGACCCAAAGCACGTCCTCTCCAACAACTTTGCTCCGGTTGATGAGCTTCCTCCGACCGAGTGTGAGATCATACAGGGCTCCCTGCCGCCGTGCCTCGACGGTGCCTACATCCGCAATGGCCCGAACCCGCAGTACCTTCCGCGTGGGCCCTACCACCTGTTTGACGGAGACGGCATGCTTCACTCTATTAGGATCTCCAAAGGCCGTGCTGTGCTCTGCAGCCGCTATGTCAAGACCTACAAATACACCATTGAGCGTGATGCTGGCTACCCTCTTCTTCCCAACGTCTTCGCTGGCTTCAACGGCCTCACTGCCTCCGCCACACGTGGCGCTCTCTCCGCTGCCCGCGTCTTTACAGGCACAGTCTAAAATTTTCACTAATACTATTTAAATCGATTTGGTGAAATTACACACTAACCCCGTGGTTTTATTTAATTCACTCAATTTATAAGATGCGAACAATTATAATACCAAACTAAAAACTCGGAGTCATAAATACAAATTTTTATATTAGAAATTTCCATATGATTATTTTCTATACTTTTGGTTACAGGCCAATACAATCCTGCTAATGGCATTGGTCTGGCAAACACAAGTTTGGCTTTCTTTGGCAACCAACTTTATGCGCTTGGCGAGTCTGATCTCCCTTATTCTTTGCGTTTGACATCCAATGGAGATATCCAAACTCTGGGACGCCATGATTTTGATGGCAAGCTCTTTATGAGCATGACGGCTCATCCAAAGATAGACCCTGAAACAGGGGAGGCCTTTGCCTTCCGCTACGGCCCCTTGCCTCCATTTCTAACATACTTTCGGTTTGATGCAAACGGCACAAAGCAGCCAGACGTGCCCATATTTTCTATGGTCACTCCATCGTTCCTCCACGACTTTGCAATCACAAAAAAATATGCCATCTTTGTTGACATACAAATTGGCATGAACCCAATTGACATGATCACCAAAGGAGCATCGCCTGTTGGCTTGGACCCTTCCAAGGTGTCTAGAATCGGAGTGATCCCGCGATACGCGAAAGACGAAACGGAGATGAGGTGGTTTGATGTGCCTGGTTTTAACATCATACATGCCATTAATGCTTGGGATGAAGAGGATGCTATAGTGATGGTGGCACCAAACATTTTGTCAGCAGAGCACACAATGGAGAGAATGGAGTTGATCCATGCTTCGGTTGAGAAAGTTAGGATTGATCTCAAGACAGGGATTGTGTCAAGGCAACCCATCTCCACAAGAAATCTAGACTTTGCTGTGTTCAATCCGGCTTATGTGGGGAGGAAGAACAAGTATGTTTATGCAGCTGTGGGTGATCCAATGCCTAAGATATCAGGGGTGGTGAAATTAGATGTGTCCAATGTGGAGCACAAGGAGTGTATAGTGGCTAGCAGGATGTTTGGGCCAGGGTGCTATGGGGGTGAGCCGTTTTTCGTGGCTAGAGAGCCCGAGAATCCGGAGGCGGATGAAGATGATGGGTACGTGGTGACGTATGTTCATGATGAGAAGGCAGGGGAATCAAGGTTCTTGGTGATGGATGCCAAGTCTCCTCGGCTTGATATTGTGGCTAACGTGAGGCTGCCCCGGCGGGTGCCTTATGGCTTCCATGGACTCTTTGTGAAGGAAAGTGATCTCAACAAGTTGTAGTGTCATGTGTCCCCTTTCAGCAACATAGTAAACGTTACACAAACTATATAAAAAAAACACCCACCACATCTATATACTGTCATAACCACAAACCATTACAATTACAAGTTTGAAATATCTATTATACATATTTTCAATAAAGCTATCTGCATTTTATGTACTGATTATATTGACCACCAAAATAAAGATTATACCCCAAACTAGGTGAGTGCAAATCTGACCACAAGTTTATTCAGTCTCCCAATGGCATTCACCACATAGAGGTATGCAAGACAACAGCAGATATAGATAAATATCTGTTTAAGATCATTCCAAATTCATATGAAACTTGGCCAAGTAAACTTTTACATGATTAACTTTTCAGGAAAATTTCAGGAAAAAAAAACACATTACAAGTTGAGCTAGAAGACGTAGTTAATCTGCATAATGTGGAAATTGATGCTGAACTTGCTGCAGTTCATAATTGTACTCTGGAGTTTCTGATAATCACGATCACATATATGCACAGGCCGTTTTTCATCCACGGCTTTCACCTGTCGTACCCTTCATCATCAACCTCTTCTCTAAAGCCCGGTTCTTGCAATCGCAGAAATATATCGTGCAGGCGACCCATTTCACCACATTCCCAAAGCAGAACAAGCTAATCTGAGCAACAACACCAATACAATTAATCCCTCTTCCATAGCAGCCGATGTAGATGCAAGGCAACCTTAAACTTACTTCCCAAGCAAAGAACATAAGCATCAAAAGAATCCCTCTCCACTCACTCCCACTGCTAAAATATATTGCTAGAGCAAATGCCTTGATGCCATATGTCCCCTCCAACACTGAAATCACAAGACTCCCATTCCACACAGCACTCCATGCCAAATAAATTGTTAGGAGTGCTGCAAATGATGGCCCACACCATATAGCAAAGAACAAATCATACATTGTGTCTTTGAATACAACAAAGTATGTTGTTGCTAACCATATCAATCCAAGTAAAGCACAAGTTGATAAGACAAGAATATAAAGAGATGTTATAAAAGTGCCCTTCAGTCTTGTTTTGTCTAAGGGTATATGTAGCATTTCCTTGAGAGTCATCAATGGTCTCCCTTCTGTGTATATCTTTGATGCCAAATCAACAACCACGAGCACGGTGCTGAGCTCTAGGAGATGGAGAGGCATCAGATAGAGAAGACCCAGATGAATGAACCCATCAGTATACTCTTTGTTCATTTTTCTGGTTGTATCAAATGGCATGATCCAAACATAGTCGAGGTCATCAAGGGGTTGTTTTAGAATTTCTGAGATTTGAACTAGGAATTTTTGGAGAACAGATTCATAGTAAACCAAGAAACAGAAGAGAGGAAGGGAGGTGAGAATTGTGAAGATGAAGAAGTTGGTGTTTCTGGCAGAGATTACAAGAGCTTTTCTGAGAATATCAAAGGCTTCCAGCTTCTGATTCTTCATCATAAGGTTGCTCTCCATCTCCATGCTTTCACTTCCAAGCTCAATCCAAACACAATTGTAAATTTCCAAATGAACATAGAGTCTTTCTTGACTTCATGCAATTAGCAATACACTCAAAAGTCTCAGTCAAGTCCACCCCCACCCCACCACCCCCACCCAAACCCTTTTGATGGTTAAGCAGAATGAATATTGATGGGTGGACTTGACTCAGACTTTTGCCGTCCTTGCAATTGCTTCATGATGCACTTTCACATTCAGAGCCATTGTTTTGTTAACCTTGACTTTGTTTCTTAGCTCACAAAAGATATTTTAAACAGAAGTTTAACCTTGAATTTGTCTACTTGGTGGAAAATGTCTCCATTTCATATCCCCTTGCACTTTCGTGGAGACCTTTAGGCTGTAATTGATAGTTCTATTATATATCAAGGTACTGCATGCCGTTTTTGTTACCGTAGATATTGTTGGACGCTTTAACACTCCGATGAGACAATGCAAGAGCCTAACGGTGCTCCCAAAGGCCAAAGTTTTTATATTTTTAACTCAACATTGCACCATCTGTCTTAGGTTGGGATCTCCTCCTACCAGGACCACTTCTGGGAAGTTCAGTACTCTCCTCATATCAGGCGGTCCAACCATTTGAAATAGTTTTTGTATTACTCTTAAGGAGAATTACTGGGTGAAACAATGAAGAAACCAGCACCATTGGGTGAAACAAGGTGTCGAATCGAAATAGTGTTTCTGAAGAGTTAACAATACTATTTCAAGAGGCACCTTTTGCTGTAAATGCGTGATATAATTGTCTCCCACATGGCAATGGAATTTGCAACCAAGTTATGTTCACGTTTATACCAAACATATTTGAAACATTGGCCAAGTAAAGTGAGGCATGATTAATCAAAAGAAAAGCCAAAAACTTTGCAAATTGAGCTAAAAGACTTAAATCAACATAATGCAGAATGATCCAAATCAAACTTTGTTGCAGTTCCTACTAGTGCTCATCTGGAGCTTCTTTTCAACAAGATCCCATCCATCTACTTGCCTGAAGTGCTTCTTCATCCACAGCTTTCAGCTCTCTTCTTACCCTTCATAATCAGCTTCTTCTCTAAAGCCCGGTTCTTGCAATCGTAGAAATATATCATGCAGGCAACCCACTTCAGCACATTCCCAAAGCAGAACAAGCTAACCTGTGCAACAAGACCAATATAATTCCCTCTTTCATAGCTGCCAATGTAGAGGCATGGCAACCTTAAACCTACTTCCCAAGCACAGAAAATAAGCATCAAAATAAACCCTTTCCACTCACAACCACTGGTGAGATATATTGCTTGACCAAATGCCTTGATTCCACGTGTCCCCTCCAAAATTGAAATCACAACACTCACATTCCATACAGAACTCCATGCCAAATACATTGTTAGCAATGCTACAAAAGATGGCCAACAAAGAACAGCATAGGAAACACGATCATCCGTGAAGCTGAAGTTCCTGAAGAGAGCATAGGAAACACGATCATCCATGAAGCTGAAGTCCCTGAAGAGAGCATAGTATGTTATTCCTAACCATGCCAATCCTAGAAGAGTACAAGTTGACAAGAAAAGAACATAGACATATGTAACAAATGCGCCCTTCAGTCTTGTTTTGCCAAAGGGTCTATGTACCATCTCTTTGAAAGTCATCGTTGTCGGTATCTCTTCCGTGTATATCTTTGATGCCAGATGGACAATCACAATCACAGTGCTGAGCTTTAGGAGATGGAGAGGCACCAGATAGAGAAGACCAAGATGAGTCAACTCATAAGGAAACTCTTTGTTCAATTTTGTGGCTATGTCTAATGGTATTGACCAACTCAAGTTGAAGTAAGCATTGTAACCAATGAAATTGTTGTGCTTGTAGGGTGGATTTAGAATTTTTGAGATTTCAACCAGGGATTTTTGGAGAGAAGACTCATAGTAAACCAAGAAACAGAACAGAGGAAAGGAGGTGAGAATGGTGAAGATAAAGAAGTTGGTGTTTCTTGTAGAGATTATAAGAGCTTTTCTGAGAATACCAAAAGCTTCAAGCTTCTGATTTTTCATGATAAGGTTGCTTTCCATCTCCATGCCTTCACTTCCAAGCTCGACCCAATCACAATTGAAAGTTTCTAGGTGGTGAGCATCAAGTCTTTCTTGGTGGATACAAGGAGTGAATATTGATAGGGATCAAGGGTTGGCTTGACTAAGACTTTTCTTCTTCTGCTAATTGTTTCATGATCTAAACAAATTAATACCATGGGCCCTGCCCATCAGAGAACAGAGCTGATTCTCGTTACAGGTCAATGAACACCAAGTCTTTCTTGATGGCTGCAAGTGTAATGAACATTGATGGGGATCAAGAGTGGACTTGACTCAGATTTCCCTGTTTTGCTAATTGGGTCATGATTTTAAAAAAATAATACCACAGGCCCCAAGTTGCTAATTTTTCGTATCTGAAGCCATTGTTTAGTCAATTTAGGGGAGTGTATTCAATTAGGATTGTATATGATTTTGAAAGATTTTTTTTAAGTTACAGATTTCCTGGAATTGTATAACTCCTATAGGTTTTACTTGGATTTTTAATAAACTTGTATATGCTTTTATTATAAACTTCTATATTTTTGTATGAACTTTTGTTATAGATTCAGATATATTTGCATAGATTTCCCAATATTATTTTCTTTTATCACTCTTTATTCCCAACACTATTTTCTTTTTCTTTAAACTATCTTGACCTAGCCACTAGTCAACCATCCCCCTTTTTTTTCCCCCCAAATTCTTCCTCTACTTGTGTGCACAACAATGAAATTTCCTTTGAAATTTCCATGAGTTGGAAATTTTCATACCTAAACAATGAATTTCCCTTTGAAATTTCCACGAGTTGGAAACTTTCATACCTAAAGAATGAATCTCCCTTTGAAATTTCCATGAGTTGGAAATTCCCATGAACAACAAACTCTTTGTCCAAAAATTCAATTAAAAAAAAACCTTTTGTCCAAAAAGCAAGGGCCCTATGATCTAGTAGTGTTATGGGTGATGGAAATATATCTCAACCTTCCGCGTCCTTTACCTTGGCTTCATGCTGAGATGATCTCCAGGGGAACTTATAGGAGATAGAGAAATCTCTAGCCGAGCTTTCCTCCTAGCAACTCCAACTGGTTGATTTGAAGAAATCACTAATGGAGGAGCTTTCCTTAATACAGGACGCTTGTAACCACCCAAGGTCAGTGCATGGCTTAGTGCATGTTTGCCAAACAATGGAAAATTTTCTAAACATAGAGAGAGAGAGAGAGAGAGAGAGAGAAAAAAAAACACGTTGTATGAAATCTTTGGGGTGGAGGTTGGACTTATGTTGGCCTTTATTATTTATACCTAAACCCTACAAATTCTCCAAACTCCAACACTTAATTAAATCCTTCCAAATCTATCTCCTTTTGAATACAGGTAAATTTATTTGGACTTTTTCCAAGTCCTAATTGAATACACCCACATTTAGATAGACATTTTAAAAGTTCAAACAAGTTTTAGATTGAATACATCCAAACTGTTATAGACTTTTTAAAAGTTTGTATAAATCCAAATTGAATACACCAAGATTTTTAAAATCTTTTTAAACGCTCTAGAATCCTAATTGAATACAAGCCCCCCTTAATAATCAAGGACAGGACAATCCACCATTTGACATAGTTTATTGTATTGAAATCTTGAAGATACTGTTCTAGTTTTTGTGATTGGATTCTGTTTCCTCTGTTCTCTCATTATACTTCCCAATTACATTTAATATTTCGTTGTCAGGTTTCCTCTTTAAAATCCGATTTTACAATTCAGAAGTGTCAAATGGCAAAGTGAGCATTTCCAAGGAAATATTTCTTTTCAAGTTTATATCAGATTTATATGAACTTTTCCAATTAAATTCATACACGAGTAATTAGCACAAAAACACCAAATTTGATGGAGAAAAACCAACATAACGTGGAAACTGATGGAGAGTGAACTTGCTGCAGTTTCTAGTTGTTCTTTGGAGTTTCTTACCAGATCACTTCCATGTACTTTCTTGTAGTGCTCATTCCTTAACAGCTTCCACCTGTGTTCCAACTTCATCATCAACAGATTCAACACATTCCTTCTTCTTGAAAGCCCGGTTTTTGCAATCGTAGAAATATACCGTACAGACAACCCACTTCAGGACATTCCCCAAGCAGAACAAGCTAATCTGTGCAACAATTCCATACTCTCTTTCATAGCAGCCAAAGTAGAGGCATGGCAACCTTAAGCCCTCTCCCCAAGCAAAGAAAACCAGCATCAAACGAAGCCCGCACCACTCGCTACCTCTGCTGTAATAAATTGCTAGAGCTAATGCCCCAGTTCCATGAACCCCATCCAACATTGAAATCACAAGACTCATATTCCATACAGCACTAAACGCCAAATACAGAGCTAGCAGTCCAACAAATGCTGGCAAACACAGTGCAGCAAAGAACACATCACAACCGAAGTTCCTCAAGACAACAAAGTAGGTTGTTACTAACGATATCAATCCGAGTAAAATACAAGTTGACAAGAAGAGAACATAGACAGATGTAATGAAAGTGCCTTTGAGTCTTGCTTTGTCAAAGGGCTTATTTACCATTTCCTTGAGGCTCATCATTGGTCCCTCTTCTGTATATATCTTGGATGCCAAGTCAACGATCACAAGCACAGTGCTGAGCTCTAGGAGATGGAGAGGCACCAGATAAAGAAGACATAGTTGAATCAACTCATCGAGAAACTCTTTGTTTAGTTTACGGGTGATATCATTCAAGCTGCCTGTTGGCCATATACTGTAGCAGTAGTCGTAACCTGGGGATTGTTTCACAATTTCGAAGATTTCAGCCAGGAAATTTTGGAGAAAAATTTCATAGTAAACCAAGAAAAAGAAGAGGGGGAGGGAGGTGAGAATGGTGAAGATGAAGAAGTTGATGTTTCTGGCAGAGATTATAAGAGCTTTTCTGAGAATATCAAAGGCTTCCAGTTTCTGGTTCTTCTTCACCATAAGGTTGCTTTCCATCTCCATGCTTTCACTCCCAAACTCCATCCGAACACAATCAAGAGACTTTGTAAATGAACATGAAGTCTTTCTTGATGGCCCCAGAGTGGGGAGGCAGGAGTTGACTTGACTCAGACTTTTACTCTTTTTCTAATTGCAAAATGATATATAAAATAATACCGTGGTTTCCAAGAACATGGTGAGAATCCCAGTAAAATCCAAGCCATTGTTTTGTTAACCCTGAATTTGGTTCTTAGAAATAAATTTTTTTTTAAAGGTAAACCTTGAAATTGTCTACTCGGTAGAATTGCCAACAAACCATTTCTTAGGCCCTTGTACTTTTGTGAACCCATGAAACTTTCAATTCAATTAATTTAGCAAAAGCAGCAATTACGAACTTTTGAATGAGAGATCTTATAGCTTGATCCTAAGAATTTATGGCAACCTTGTTGTGACAGTTTTGCAATCGTAGTAATAAACTGTGAGAACCACCCAATTGATAACCTTCCCCAGGCACACGAAGCTTGTGTCAAGGTAATAGTATGCAAGTATATGTGGGTAAGTCCATGTGGCAAGGAGGGATGGCAACTTGAACCTCCAAACAGAATACAGAAGCATCCAAATGAGCCCTCTTAGTCTATTTCCTTTGGTTAACTTTGATGAGGCTGAAAGGGCAATTCCTCTGTTGTTCTCCTCTAAAATGGAAACAACAACACTTAGGTTCCACCAGGCACTGTACTCTGCCCATTTAGCAAAGGCCACACCATAAACTATCAAATGCAAGCCCCGCGACAACCGAGTTGGGCAGCCTGATAAAAGTAACGGCCTAGCATAAAGCCAATAGTCAAGAACACTTGAGGAAAGAGAGCACAAGAGGGACACAGACAAGAATGGAAACATACGCCCATGCCACCTTGTTTTGGTTATTGAATTTCGAAGAAGATTTCGGAGACCCATTGTTGACCTCTCACTACTAGTACAGATTATTGAGGCAGCATAGATAGTTGTGAGGGCACTGAGGAAGTCAACAAAGACAGAGAGGTAAACTTCCAGAATTTGAATGGTCAGATTTAGAGCCCGTGACATATTGCCTCCATCATTAGTAAGAATTCTTAGCTGATATATTGCCTCCTTGATCAAACTAGGCTGGTAATTATAAGGCAATTCATGTATTAATCTCATGCAAAATAGTGGGAAGGAGGTAATCAATGTTAAGGCTATGAAATTGGGATTTCTAAATGGGATTTTCATGGCTGATTCGATTAGACCTACGGTGCCAAGAAACCATAGCTTAATCTCAGCAAATTTTGGGTTCCCCATTCCCTCAGATGTACCACTACGAAGTTTGAATACTGTGGGTCTTGCATTGGTTCCCTCTTCAATATATATGGCAGCAGTGCATTGACATTGTGATACAAACTCGTATAATTCTAGTTTTGTTTCCATTAGAATGGTACAAATCTAGCCGATGCCTCCTGTTAGTTTATTTTGGGGTGATAATCCAAAGCACATCAAATAATAAAGTAACTTGCATTATTGATTATTGAAATTTCCAAAGAAGTAAAGGACAACACCAACATACACTACAACGTTAAAAGAAGCCCATTCCAGCCAACTTTCCCAACTTTCCCAACTGTGTCACTTCGGCCTACTCGGAATCTGGAGTCCTTTTTTATATAAAAAATAATAATAATAATTAATAGTATAGCCGCGGCTATACTAATTAAATATAATATTTAATGCACCTTCATTTTTAATACACGTGTTTTTATAAAATTTTCAATAATACATACAAAATTCACATATTATACAATATATTTCACTAACTATGAAAGAATGTGAGAGGCTAAGATTATTGCAACAAAAATGCAAGATAGTGACTTGTCCGCCATGATCGTCATGTATAAAGCATGCAAGTACTAAACCATAACATTTGTTTCATAATTGCCTACTCTGAACCAGATCGGCATATTAATTTACAAATCAACAACGAAAATACAAATCAAATAGAAATGAAAAATAAACATTGCAACCACCAAGTTTCAAGGGTAAGGGGAAAGATCACTCGAGTCATGACCAACCACAAGCCAAACAGGGTTGTCATGCCTGACGGTCCTCAATGATGGATTCAGTTCTTCGGTCAAGCGACTTAAACATATTACGCGATGATTAAAATCTTATGTATGCTCGCGGTGTGGTTTGTAGAACTGTGCAAAGATAAAAGTGCTACAACAAGAAGATTTCAGAGGAAAGTCTTAGGTCTTGACGATGATGAATTTGTGACGGACTCCACAAGCGAAAAAGGTCTGCAGTTCATCTCAACTCAGTGGGTAGATTAACCAACAATACTAAGTACGCTCTAAAACTAATACCATGGATGCTCTGGCTTTCAACCATTGATAACCAGACTCGAGAGAAGTGAACCAATAGGGCAACAACAGCTTCACCTTCTTCCTCCAGCTAGTAGAGAACTAAGAAGTGAACGTCTTACTTACTATGACAGAAGCACTGTTGACGATGATGACACTAATATGGTCAGATGCAGCCAGGTTTCTCAAGTAAAACAAGCAGATTAACGTGCAGACAACCAACAAGTACATGTTGTGCAGAGGTGCAGAGATGGGGAAGGCAATAAACAGCTTCATCTTCTTGAGCCAGCTAACGAAAAAGGTTTATTCAGGAAGCTTTGTTGCAGAAGACTGCAATAAAAAAAGTGCCGCATGCAACCAAAGTAGAAAGTACCAAAGTTTCTAGATATTCCAGTTTCACTGAACAATATGCAGAAGCAACAAGAAGTAGAATACTCTGGAGGACGCAGAGATGGGAACCGTGAGCACTAAGATGCAGTAAGTGGCGAAACGAAGCCGTTTTAGCCGAAAATCACACCTCAAATCAAAACAAGCAAACTTTAGGAACCTCTAATGCAAACAATGAAATCCAACCACAAAGGACAAATTCACATAAAAATCATATATAAACAGATATAATATGGCAACTTAAAAGTAGGAAAAGGACCTCTTCAGTACGCTGAAGCGAGAAAGCCGACGCAAAACGGTGTCCAAGGCACCCCTTTTGGTGGCAAAAACACTTCGTAGAAGCAAGCCATCCAAATCCAAGTTTCTAACAAAACCCATAGTCACAACATCGACATAACTAACATGATTCTCGTCAGTTCAACCAATCCTATTAGAACTATAATATAGCAGAGATATCATCCTTTCAGGTCATCCAGCATTTGCTCCAATTCCAGCTTAGTCCCTGCAGAAGACAAACAAACACATGAATCAGCTACTCGTAGAAATCAACAAGAAATGAAGTCCTCTAATACATAACACCATCCAAAATACACTCACTCAACCTTACATTTAACATAATTTGTAAAAAGAAACAGCAAGACATTGTACAGCCATGACTTACCCATTGGCATAAGGTGAGGCACGACGAGCAGGGCGATATGGAGGAGACCTACTGTAGCTTCGTCCACGTCGAGGAGGTGTGACACTACGGCGTCGTGGAGGAGATCTTCTCCTACGCGGACTATAGCTCCTGCCACAACATAAAACATTTTTAAGTGTAGTATTTTCAGAAAACTCGGCAGCCACAACGCAATTAGTACAAAATAATTAGTAGTGTTACTCAGAATAATGTATCAAATATCACAAGTTTCAAGTCACATCCCATTTCTATGTGAGCTGGGAAACAAAGCGCAAGAAGGATGTGGTGAAGAGCATAATTTTACCACAAGATGCAGAGGAATAAAAAGAAAGACATAGGTCTTCAGTATACCTGCGTCCATAACCATCATAACTGGGACTTCTGCGGCGTCGAGGGGATGGACTTCGGCGCCTTCCACTACCCAATCCTCGTGAACCAATACGCAAGCGACATTCACGAGCAAAATGACCAGGTTCACCACACTCATAACACTTTAAGTCCTCACCTCCACCGCGCCCGCGTCCTCCACCACCACCACGGCCTCCACCACCCTTAGAATTGTGAGAAAGCTCAACACGCCAACCATTTTTCCTGTAGAAACAAAAATGGGAATAGGAAGCTTTGAGATGCTACGATGGTGAAGATGATAATGTTGATGATGATGATATATTATGATATGATAATAGCACACAACTCAAACACATGGTGTACAGAATCTATCATAGAATATGATGGACATGCCTCTTCTGTGTGGCTTAACATCTTTCTCTAACAAAAATGGGCTGACGATAATAGACACGCTAACTATAAGTAATAAGTAACATGCATCTGAAACTATAGTTTAGCTCAAAAGGATGGGCCTTTGGTATCCTCAACAGGTGGAAGCTTCAACAAATTATAACTTGCAGTTGCTAAAGGAAAACTATGGTGTCAAACCAAATTGGAGTGGTAGAAGTGTCAGACAAACCATCCACAGCTTGAATTGCATCTAGAGCATCCCGGCGATCATCAAATTCAATAAACGCATATCCAGGCGGTCTTCGAGCGACCCATACACTGTGATCAATTACATAAAAAAGTACCAGCACCAATAAATCTCACTTAACCATAAAATAACTATTGTGACTCATTCAAACAATGAAAAAGTAGAGGCATTTAGTAAGAAAGGAAAATAACCCTCGAAGAACACCGAACATCCGAAATTCATCTTCCAAATCCCTTTCATTCACTCGAGGATCCAAATTCCCAACATAAACCCGAGCCATCGTCGCAAAACCACTTTCAACCTAAGAAAACATATATATTTATACACATATATAAAACAGCAAAACCCATCAAAAAAGAATATTTTTTTTTCCCTTTAAACTCATCAAGGATCGAACTTTGCATCCGATAAATTAATAATACTTTGGCTTTATACTTATTCTCAAAGTCTATGATATGTGAAACGAAAAAAGAGAGAAATAGCATCGAAATATTACCTTCGAAAAACCGCTAGAGTATTTGAGAGATGAACGATCGGAGCGACAAGGAAAAGAATTGAACGCTCTGCGCGTGAAATCGCAGAGCTCGAATAAACCCTAGAACCAGAAGCTATTTTGCGTTTAGATTTCCCTGCTTCTTCTTATTCCACTTGTGAATGTGCGTTGAAGTCAAATGGAGCCCAACTGGCCCACTTTTCATTATAATTCACCAGGCCCAGCCTTCTAATGTCACATAAACGACATGCCGTTTTTGTTGAATATTCCACGAATATACGGCAGGTGGGTATTTATGACATCATCTTAGGAACCTACCTACTAATAGGCTGGTCCTGAGATTTAAGGGCCTTATGCGAAACTTTAATTGGAGCTCTCGCATAATCTAATATGAAAATACTAGGGTTTAGGGTTTAGTTTTTTTTTATAGGAGAAATCATATGGATGTGATATATACAAGGATATGCACTAGAAACTATCTTCACCAAATACACTTTTGTGTCAATGTGTTGCACGCTTGAGTATATATAAAAAATTTATAATATTAATATAAATAATATAAAGTGAAAAAAAAAATTTTGAGCCCCTCAAAAATTGAGAACCCTGTGCAGTGGAGCCACTTGCACCAAGTTAGGGCCTCCCCTACCTACCAATAACAGAAGAATGGCCTTATAAGGCTTGTAATTAATACAGGCATTTTTTTAAATAAATTTTATAGTCTAAATTATTCTAAATCATTTTAATTTACGAGAATATAGATCGAATTCGGGTGTAACAAAACGTTTCACCTTCTCATGATGTTTTTTTTTTCAATTCATTGTTCATAGTTCCAATGCCTTTTTTTAATACAAATTAATAAATAAACCCAATCTTAGACATGTATTTATAAAAAAAACCCAAATACTATTTTAACATAGAAACACACCCAAAATTAACCCCAAAATCAACAATTGTATATTTTTTGGGTGTGTTTATAAATAGGTTTTGAGTGTGTGTAATGATGGGTTTTGGGTGTGTTTATAAAATGTTTTTGATGTTGGATTTTTTTATAATTTCAGACCCCATTTTGGGTATTTTAGTGAAACTCCCTTTTTTTAATTCATCATCATCACGTTTATTTGGGCTTAAATCTCTAGTAAAACCCATGATTTTAACAGGACAAAAGGTCAAAAATGACCAGCGTAATAAGATACTTTTCGTATGTGAATCAGTGCATGGATAAGTGTGAGAAATTTAGAGCAAACAGATCCTAAAAAATTGCCAAAATGGTAAATTTTTTGACCAGAAAATTCAGCTGGTTGAACAACAAAATACCTGATTTATCCTATACTAACCAACATTCAAGACTACTTCAGATACTGATTTAAGTTTTTTTTTCCATTTTTTTCATAATAAATGTCAACTGTTGTTTGTTTAAATCAGACGGTTGATAATTAACATGCATTTCCACAAATAATCAGATAATAAATTAGAGAGTGTGTGTAGATGCATGAAACCGCGGAAATGCTTTGGAGTCTTGGACCATCTTAAATATCGCTCTCCTTATTTGTAAATTGCATAACGGTTTCAAAAATAGAGAACTGATTATCTAATTGATAGTTACTCTTCTTTTTTTTATTTTTTTTTAATACATTCTAAACTACTCTAATGTGAAGTGAACGATAAATTGAAGTTTGTGTAATTGAGTGGGAACAACAAACACACATATCCTTCGTCAACTTACCTAACTTACATTTACGAGAACTAACTACATTGTCACAAAGATTTTTCAATACAGTGAGAAGTTAGGGACTGACACAGAGATTTAAAGAGAGAGCGATATATATATATATATATATTAAAGAAAATATTCTATTAAGTGAACAGATATATTAAAATATTGACAAATAAAACAGATAAATTAAAATAAACGAAAAAGTGTCTGAACATATGTACCAATAGGAGCAGAAAATCCAAGGAAAGATACAAGCATGATTTTCTTATCCAAAAAAAAGAAGAATGTGTTTTGTCGTAACCAATAATGTTTATTTCGTTACTCGTAGCTATTGTCGTTGTCCTCACTCATTTCCCAGGTTCATAGAACACCAAAGCATTAAATTTCGTGACCCATTGTTGGAGATTTATCAGAACCAGCCGAGTTTGGTTCCCAGAGCGGTACTGGCAACAAAGTTAGGGTCTTTTGCATGTGGGTTCTGAAGGGTCTGTGGAAACATGAAAGAAGACGATGGGATTGTGGAGAGAAGTGAGAGGTTGGTGGTTAGGAGTGGGAGTGGTGGCGGTAGTGACTCGAGGTGGGTTGATGGAAGCGAAGTGGACTCAGAGTCACCTCCATTTTCGATGCTTTCTGAAAATATTTTCAGAGAAGGATATGGATCTCTCAGGAGGAGGCTTGCCAAGAAGCCAAAGAGAGTTGATTCTTTTGATGTTGAAGCCATGGAGATTGCTGGTGGTGGTAGCCACCATTCTAAGGTAATGTTACAATTGCTTTCAATATCTTAAATATTATGAAATTTGTGTGCTTTTATGTGTTACTTATTTCTTGTTATCCATATGCTGTTAGTGTGTGTGTGTGTGTGTTAGTTCGTTTCAAATTCATGGACATGGTCTACGATTGGAATACGGAGTACCATCTGAAAGTTCGAAATCCAAATTAATAGTCTTTATTCTTCTTGTCATTTTTTGTTACATTCTTTGACCATTAAAGAAGATGGGACATTGGCAATTTGGTATTGATGCCTACCAATGTATCGAGAAATGCAAATGGAGCGATTGAAGTGATTGGCAATTTCATATTAATCTTTTGGGAGCAATGATTACTTAACAGATGATTACTCCATTCTTTAATATGATTCGCATCCTTGGGGATTTGAGAGTTTCCTGGAGATGTGAGAGGGTTTAGCTTTTGAAGCATGGGCAAGAAAGAACAGTTAATCTTAGCACACACAGTTTATGTATGGAGTCCACAAGCTAACATATGCTTCACAATTAAGTAAGGTAAGTTGCAACAAGTAAAACAATACTCGAGTAAATGTCGTATATCAGCAGAATTAGGATTTGACAGCAAGTTTGTGTTGTCTCAGCATCCGTATTATCAATATGTGTTCGAGAGCGTGAAGGAAATAACATGCTTATTTTCATTCCCTTTGTAACAATATGTGGATTTGGAAGTAAATTAAAGGAAAGGTCAAAAGCGTGCCAATTATTCAAAGGTCCAGGTAAAATGAGCCTAAGCAAACAGACACCTATTTGAGTTTTGCAGACAGAATTAGCTTGTCTCAGTTCTATCATGTACTCTACTTATCCATGTCTACTGACGTTTATTTAATAAATCAGGATGCTTCTGTTTGGAGCACTCTTGCTTTAGCATTCCAAACTCTCGGTGTGGTCTATGGTGACATGGGCACAAGCCCTTTATATGTCTTCGCTGATGTGTTCAGCAGGGTGAAAATCGAATCGGATGTTGACGTCTTGGGGGCTTTATCAATAGTGATCTATACAATTGCACTTATACCCTTAGCGAAATATGTTTTTGTAGTTCTCAAAGCCAATGATAATGGAGAAGGTAGGCATTTCTCTTATCGAAGTTATTTTCTCCTTTAGTTCTTAGTATTCTTGTTATGTTTATACTTGTTAACCCAACACTCTTTATTCTTCCAATTGTAGGAGGAACATTTGCATTGTACTCGCTGATATGTAGGTATGCAAAGGTTAATCTGCTGCCAAATCGTCAGCCAGCTGATGAACACATTTCAAGTTTTAGGCTCAAATTACCCACTCCAGAGTTGAAAAGGGCTTTGCGTATAAAAGAGACTTTAGAAAGGAGATCATTCTTGAAAACTCTCCTATTATTGTTCGTTTTGATGGGAACTTCAATGGTTATAGGGGATGGTATTCTAACCCCAGCAATATCAGGTACTTGAATGGATTGGGCATACTCCAGAAGCTATACTCAACCAAAAATATAAGTTTAAGCTGTAACTAATGATATTTTCTCTTAACACTATGTAAGCCAGATTGTTATATAGATATGAAATGAAATCACTATTATCAGCCAGGATTATTCTGGCATCTTCTTCCACTTCCTCTTCTTAGACAGGCAACCAGAATTAGGCATCCCTTCATAGTTGGAAAAAGGGCTTTCTTGACTTGATTCAGTTCATTATTGGCACTTTATAATCCCCAATCATTTACTTTGGAATTAGAACTTTTCGTTGGACCTGCCTGAACCTGCAATAATCATTTCATGTATTAAATGTGAAATCTTTTCTATTTTATCTTTGTACGAGTTGACTGATACATTTTTTTTTCTTTTTGGTTGTTGTAGTGATGTCTGCTGTGAGTGGCCTGCAGGGTGAAGTTCCAGGGTTTGGTACAAGTGGGTATCTTTTCCCTTTTGAGAACCTGTGGTTCATTTCAAGGTTCCAAGTTTCTTTTCTGTTCATGTCATTCTTTAATGATCATACATACCTAGGGTGTTGATATTAAACTGAAGTTCATTTGGTGGGCCATTGATTTCTTGAGGGCAGCATGCTTTGCATGACGCACTGGGGTAATAGATTGATCAGAGACAGTTATACGCCTTGAACCTACTAGACTGCCTGATAACTCTAATTTTTTGCTTGAGTTTTTTGTTTTCTTTGTAGTATGTGCCAATAATTGCATTTAGATTTGGCCTGTAATCTGATTGATTTTTATTGCAGCTGCTGTGGTTGTTGTTTCAATCATAATCCTCGTGGTATTGTTCAATATACAGAGGTTTGGGACTGGCAAAGTGGGTGTCATGTTTT